AGGACTAAGCTAATCTATTTGTTCCTCTTTCAGGGTCTTCTGGTTTTGGGCAGAAACCTTTGGGATTCTCAACGCCTCAGTCAAATCCTTTTGGGAGCACGCAACAGCAATCACAGCCTGCATTTGGAAACAGCACTTTTGGTTCATCGACACCTTTTGGTGCCACAAGCACGCCTGCCTTTGGCGCATCAAGCACACCTTCCTTCGGTGCTACAAGCACACCCTCGTTTGGTGCATCGAGCACGCCTGCCTTTGGTGCAACAAGCACGCCAGCCTTTGGTGCCTCAAATCAACCTGCTTTCGGCACGTCGCAAACTCCAGCCTTTGGCAGCACTGGCACTACGTTTGGCAACACTGGCTTTGGTTCTGGAGGTGCTTTTGGAGCTTCAAGTACCCCTGCTTTTGGTCAATCAAGCACTCCTGCTTTTGGTGCGTCAAGCACTCCTGCTTTTGGTGCATCAGGAGCTCCTGCCTTTGGTGCATCCAGTACTCCTGCCTTTGGGGCGTCCAGTACTCCTGCCTTTGGGGCATCCAGTATTCCTTCTTTTGGTGCATCAAATACATCATCCTTTAGTTTTGGCTCTTCCCCAGCTTTTGGCCAGTCTACATCAGCATTTGGTAGCAGTGCATTTGGCTCATCACCATCTCCCTTTGGAGCTCAAGGTTCTCCCTTTAGCATGTCCCATTTAGAAAAATATTATAACTGCTAATTGTTGTTAATAAAAGGTGATAATCTATGTTTGCATGATCTGTTTTGCAGGTGCGCAGGCTTCAACTCCAACATTTGGGGGTTCTGGTTTTGGTCAATCACCTTTCGCTGGTCAACAAGGGGGCAGTCGAGCCGTGCCTTATGCATCAACAGTTGAAGCAGAGACAGGGAGCGGTACCCAGCCTGCTGGACGGCTGGAATCTATTTCTGCCATGCAGGCATACAAAGATAAAAGCCACGAGGAGCTGAGGTGGGAAGATTACCAGCGAGGAGATAAAGGTACATTTGATCAAACAAATCTTATGTCACATCTGCTTAACGCTACATTCTTGTACTTTATTTAACATACTAGGGATTCTCTACATCTTCAATTTTCAGGTGGACCACTTCCTGCTGGCCAGTCTCCTGGAAATACCGGATTTGGTGTCTCAACTGCTCAGGCAAATCCTTTTTCCCCATCACCCGCATTTGGTCAGACATCAGCAAATCCAACAAACCCGTTTGGGAGTTCAACATCTACCAACCCTTTTGCCCCGCAAACCCCAACAATTGCCAGTTCGGGTTTTGGAGCGGCTACCTCAAATTTTGGTTCCTCGCCCTTTGGTGTGACTTCTTCGTCCAATCTTTTTGGGTCAACTTCATCAAATACCACATCCGTTTTTGGATCATCATCCGCTTTTGGAACAACGACATCATCACCGTTATTTGGTTCATCAAGTGCTTCTGGATTTGGCTCTTCTACATCAATCTTTGGTACTCCTGGTCAGGGGGCAACTCCAGCATTCGGCAACAATCAGTCATCTAATCTGTTCAACTCAACTCCCTCGATTGGGCAGACTGGTTCTGCATTTGGACAGACTGGTTCTGCTTTTGGACAGTTCGGACAGAGTAGTGCTCCTGCATTTGGCCAAACTAGCATTTTTAATAAACCTTCCACTGGATTTGGCAACATGTTTTCAAGTTCTTCAACATTAACAACGTCTAGCAGCTCTCCCTTTGGACAAACAATGGTGAGTTTTCGTATTCTCTATTAAGCCTAACCACTTAGTTTTTATTTTTTCTCCATTTCATTTGATGATGCCTGTTCTCTTAGTAGTTCTTTTACTTCTCTTGATTGACACCCACACCTACACTTCCCTTCTGATCTAATTTAGGCCTTCTAATTTTGGATTATTTATGTAGCCTGCTGGTATGCCACCCTTTCAATCAGCTCAGCCAGGTCAAGCATCAAATGGTTTTGGTTTCAACAACTTTGGTCAAACGCAAGCAGGTACCTTAGTCGACCAAGTCACTGTCGTTATCATCTTGTTTCTAGATGCTAATTCTTGTATATCCATCCTCTGAAGCTAATGCAACTGGAAATACGGGTGGACTAGGATTTTTTGGTCAAGGCAACTTCGGGCAAACGTATGGTCTTTCTGACATCAGTGCTTGCAAGACTTCTGTTTTGTCTCTTTTTGGATAGTTAGACTGGTTTTCGTTTTGTGGAAGTTGTGCCACTGAAGCTTTGTTTATTATTTTCTGACAGGCCTGCTCCACTGAACTCTGTTGTTTTGCAACCAGTTGCTGTTACAAACCCATTTGGAACACTTCCTGCTATGCCTCAGATTTCAATAAATCAAGGTGGAAATTCATCTTCAATTCAATATGGAATCTCCAGCATGCCTGTAAGCCTCCTCTTCCTTCTGCAACACCTTTATGGTGCATTTTCTTTAAAAATTTCGCAAATTAAAATCAAATAGTCTCCATATAGATGTTTTGATGCTTTCTCTCATTCAGTTCTTCCACATCCATTCTCTGTCAGGTTGTTGACAAACCTGCTCCTGTGAGAATTTCATCTCTCCTGACTTCTCGACACCTTTTGCATAGGCGAGTCAGGTTACCAGCAAGAAAATACCGTCCTGGCGATAATGATCCAAAGGCATGCTTCTGTCTTGTGAATTTTTTTTCCAGACCTAATCTTAACTTTTGGTGCCGAGGTTCATTCTTCGTGTTTAAATCTTAAACTGGTCTTTCTAGGTTCCATTTTTCACTGATGACGAGGAGACCTCAAGTACACCAAAGGCGGATGCTCTTTTCATTCCAAGGGAGAACCCTAGGGCTCTAGTAATACGCCCAGTTCAGCAGTGGTCGTCGAGGGACAAATTAACACTTACAAACGACCGCCCGACTGCTCCAGTACATAACAATGGTAAGTTTCCTTTTTTCGTATTTATTTGCTTATTGCAAAAAAGACGGTGCTTATTCCAATAGAGGTAAGGTTTTTGAGACTCTGCTTCAGTGATTCACTTGGAGAAAGCAGCATTCATATTTCAGAAGAGTACTTTTCGTTTGGAAATTTAATGTCTACTTTTTTGTTTGTGGTCATTCTTTTGAACTTTTAGTTTCTACGTGTGAGAAAAAGGTTATGCAAAATGATTTTTGCTAATAAAGTACTAGGTATTGATTTCAATGGTTGCTGGCTTTTTTTTAACATATTAACCGTAAATTTCAGGGAAGAGTCCAGACATGAGCACTGATGCAGCAAACCATGACGGTGAGTATATGTTATAAAAAGGTTCCATTACGTTTTGCTATATTTGGATAATTCTAACTTGAGAGACGAAATTCACAGAAAATGATAATGGAGAACTTGGTTCTGCGGGAGAAAGAACTCATCCATCAGTCGAGCCAAATCAGAAACCGAATGGTACAACAGACACAGATCGCGCTGGGGAGAAAGACCGTCCCTACAAAACGCTAAGCGGACGCAGAGCCGGAGAAGCAGCGATTGTTTACGAACATGGTGCAGATATTGAGGCGCTAATGCCGAAGCTACGCCAACCCGATTATTTCACTGAGCCACGTATCCAGGAACTAGCTGCCAAGGAAAGAGCAGATCCAGGTTATTGCAGGCGGGTTAGAGACTTTGTGGTGGGGCGACACGGTTATGGTAGCATAAAGTTCATGGGAGAGACAGATGTTCGTAGGCTAGACTTAGAATCGCTGGTTCAGTTTAATAACCGGGAAGTGGTTGTATACATGGATGAGAGTAAGAAACCGGCAGTTGGGCAAGGTTTGAATAAACCGGCAGAGGTTACATTGCTGAACATAAAATGTGTTGATAAGAAGACAGGGAAACAGTTTACTGAAGGTGAGAGAGTGGAGAAGTATAAGATGATGCTTAAGAGGAAAGCCGAGGCACAAGGAGCTGAGTTTGTGTCGTTTGATCCAGTGAAAGGCGAGTGGAAGTTCCGGGTCGATCATTTTAGTTCCTACAAGCTCGACGATGACGAAGCTTAGGGTCGTATCTCAGTGTTACTCTGTTGGAATTGCTCTGTTTTGTGTAGGGAATGTTGGAATTGTGCAGTAGGATATAGTGCCCTACTCCATTTGTTGTGTGCCTCTTTACCCTTTTGTTTCCTTATAATTCTCTCTTCTTTTTTTGTTTGTTGGGTTTGTGTATTTCGTATCTGTGAAACGAGTTCTTTGTTTGTTTTCTTTTTACATGAATTATGGTGCCAAAATGAATGTCGCCCTACCTCTTTTTCTTGTGACCCAAGAAATTGAATATCCACCAAGCTTGTTGCTGAAATGAGCACATGGTTTTTCAGTTTTTTTTCTTTTCTGTCTATCTAGATGAACTTAATAGGAATCCGCATAAACAAAATGAAATAATACATTTACGAAAAATGTATAATTATTCTACGTCAACAAAATCCTTAAATCAATTATTGATTTATTAGATTAGTCAATTACTAGTGTAAGATTTAGCAGAGGAAACGGAAGGGCTAGTGACGTCACGCTCTCCGTGGCCACCGAAGTTGCCTTTTCCGGTCAACATCTTTATCGCTATCTGAGCTACTTCCGCAAACCACTCTTCCTCCGGCAATGTACTGTT